TTTCTGTTTTGCGAAGAAAAGGAGCTGAACACCTTTTGCAGAGAACACCTTTCTGCGTAGGCGGCCTTCGGCCGCACTTAGGGATTATAACCCTCAGGCAATAGAATTCTCCTTTCTGTTTTGCGAAGAAAAGGAGCTGAACATTTTCTTTTGTATTGATTTCCCCTGTATTCCTTTTTAATCATTGCCTTCTTTGTATGTATTGTTTTGTACAATATGGCAACACATGTTATGTGTCAGTTTGCAACCATGTGTTGTAAATATGCGTGAAATTCAATGTAATTTACAAGTCCATAAAAGTTTAATTAAAGTGATTTATGTACAAGATAAACTAAAAGAAAAGTGTGTAAAGTATTAAGTACAGTGTTATGTGCATTTATATATATAAAAGTATGCACAAATGCTTTTTTGTTAAGGAAACCAAGTGGAACAACTTAAGAAATTTTAACAACAAATAACTTATAAACAATGATATTATTTATAATTTTTAGTTATACATGTTTTAGAGGATACCTCCCTTAACATCCTGACCAAGTTTCATTTGTTAATTCCACCTGGTTTTCTTAAAACACAAGGTGCGGCTGACTACTAAAGCCCACCCCACCTAAATTGCAAAACTTTTAAATTAGACTGTAAATAGTTTTTTTTTTTTAGTATAATAAAGTGCAAGATTGAAGCTGCTAAAAATTGCGTTGTGTTTTGGTAATTTTTTTCCTTGACAGTATAAAGCAGTTCCTTCCATATCAAGATATCTTTCGAACATATTTTAAGAGATTTCTGCAACCTGGCAGCACTCCGCCAGCTTTTCTTTTTATCACATCACAAAGTAGCGAACAAATGTGGCATGTTCCAGAAACCGCCACTACCATATATGGTACACACACACACACATATATACATATATATTTTGATACCAGCATTTGTACCACACACGAATCATCGCAACGAATCTTGCAGCGTAACGAAAAGTTCGTTCGTACATATTAAGCTTTCCGAGAATTAGCGATAGACGGTAGAACGTTCTAGAGTTGCCATTAGTGTGAGCGCAGGTATGTAAAGCCGCTGCTATAGCGCAGCCAGTTAGCTGCAAGTTAGCAAGCCACCAGACAAGTCAGCTGTAAGTCAGTTGCGAATCAGCAGGCTACAAATTCAGATCAGTCGTGTTAGAAACTTTTGTGTTTTATTTGCCTTAACAAGTATTCGTAATTGTTGCAAGGTGTTTGTTGTACAATAAAGTTAATTGTATTGTAATTTGGTAACCTAGAGTATTTATTTAACAATCCAGCGATACGAACCAAAATAATTTAGGGAAGCCCGTCAAGTAGTCAGGGATTATTGTAGCAATATAATTAATTAATCGATTATGTTATTCTTTGCCATTCCAACACACAGTTTGTTCACACAATTTTACAATCTTCTAAACAAAATTTAATTTTTTATAGTATATTCGTAATGAAATGAAATAAAATAAGATAAAGTACCTTTTTGAGAACTCAAAATGTGTATACTGAGAAAAAAAAATTCAACTATATTGTTAGGCAAAGAATTGTTAAATAATAATGGCCTGTTTTTGCTTATGCGTAAAAGCACATGAAAATTGTGATTATTGGCAATTTTTCTAAGGGGTCCCTAGGGAACCATAGGGGACCTAGGTGGTCGGGGGTTGCATTTTTGTCAATGGCGGTTCATTCCCTCTCCAAAAAGGTGGGTTAGAGGTGCCACGCCCACTTACCTTTCGCCCACCGCCCCTTTAACGAACGACCATAAAGGAAAGCCAACCCAAAACGACTTTGGAAAGCAGTTTTTATTTCTAAAATAAAACGTTTCGATTTCGATTTATAGCCATTTCTTAATACAAACATGATCAAACAATTTGAAAATGTGAGGTCCCTATTAAAAATCAGCCAATACAAAAAAGGAACATTCACAATAAATGATATTTTAGCTTGGGACATTGTAGTCTGGCAGCATTTACTTGCTTTTTTTGATAGCAGAAAACAAAATTTAGTTTGGGTGAAAAGTTTTGTTTTTTAATAATTTGCTCCAAATTCCAATCAAGTCGAGAGCTGTTATAAATATATAAACGGGGTAAGTATGTTTTTACCACATAATTAGTTAATTCGTCAGCAGAATATAAACTTAAAAAGTATAACCTATGTATGTAGTTCCTTGCCCAAGGCAAACATCCTACATATTCCTACATATTTTCTTGATTTGCTTGAGTTAAACATTAATCTTAATTTCATACTTTAGCGTGCTCTCCACGAGCACATTTTTTTGAAACTAAGACTCTGGACGAAGTTGAACACCCCTCTACTGATTTCTTCACTGAACTCTGTAAATGGACACAAAATTCTAAATTACCACCACTCTGGAACGTTGACATCTCTTTTGCCAAATACACTTAACTTTACATTATTAATATATGCACTCCCGTATATATATATTCCCGCACACCACCTATCCATAAACTAAAAAAGTCTAGATCAGCTTTCCCCCAAACTGTCCTGGTTACTGGCCATTCCCTGTTGTTTTACTGCAAATCCGACACATTGGTAACAAAAAAAAAGCAAAAACATACAATGTCGGATATTTTTACAAATTTCGATAGCAACGGCGCTTGCGAGGACTCGCAGGATATAATTATGGCATCGCCATCTCAAAGCAGCCCTTTGACCAACTCGAACTCTAACTCTGTGGGGCTTGGTTCTGCAAGTACTACGGCCGGTGGTAGTAGCGGTGGCGCACAGAATGCAAGCTCTGCCAGCGCAAGCACTAATGGAACAGCTAGCAGCAGTGGAAGTGGTGCAGGCAAATCTGGTGCAGGTGCCGAAAATCAACCGGCAAGTACTTAATTAACGTGAAAGCATTATTTTCAAAGAATATAATGATTCCTTTATATATTTACAGATTTTGACCAAACCACGCTTGCTTGAACTGGTGCGTGAGGTCGACGTAACAGCACAACTGGACGAAGATGTCGAAGAGCTTTTGCTACAAATTGCTGACGATTTTGTTGAGGACGCTGTAAAGGCTACTTGTGCATTTGCCAAACATCGAAAAGTGTCCAAAGTGGAGGTGCGTGATGTACAACTACATTTAGAACGCAAATGGAATATGTGGATACCTGGGTTTGGAACCGATGAGTTGCGACCATATAAGCGAGCAGCTATTACGGAGGCACATAAACAACGATTAGCACTTATACGGAAAACAATTAAGAAGTATTGAATAGTTATAACAAAATGGGCGTAGTGGTCAACTTCTGATTCTTCTTTACTAAATATACAAAGTTATGTAGCTTATAAGATTTTTTATAAAACAATATATCAGTGGTATAGTTTCGACTTAATCTTTACATGCATTTATAAATCGCTTTTCGGTCTATCAATCTTCTCTAATTCTACTTCAAAGATAAGCGTTGAATCTGGTGGTATTTTATCGCCAGCTCCCGCTTTGCCATAGCCCAGCTCAGGAGGTATAACTAAGCGGCGTTTTTCGCCCTCGCACATGCCCAAGAGGCCTTGCTCCCATCCTTTAATCACTTGACCAATACCAAGCTTTAGCGAAAATGGTTTCTGGCGTCCATAACTGCTGTCAAATTCGGTGCCATCTTTCAACGTACCCTGCAGGCAAGAGCAGATACATGAACGTCCGGTGGAATTGATTGTTTTTGGTGTTTCAATTAGGACTTACTCTATAATGAACATGGATTGTGTCGCCTTTGCCTGCCTTCATTTCACATTTCTCCGCCCTCTTTTTAATGCCAATTTTCACTGTGGGTTTTGCATCCCGCGATGCAGTAGTGCACAAGCTGAGTACCGTTAAAAGAAGTAGCAGGAAAAGTAACTTCATTTTTAAAGAATAATTGTGCTCCAAAGCTTTTAAATAACGAACTTAACAAAGAAATGCAAGGTAAATTTTTGACAGTGACTTGGTTAGATCCAGCAAAAGGTATCGTTTATTGTTGCTGTGATACGGCAGATAAGAATTGGACCTGCTGATAAATAAGTTGCAGTACTGCCAACATGTGTAATGGCTAAAATTTAAGAAAAGCAACACTGCACTGGAAGAAATGAATTTTTCATTTTACATAGGAAAGTGAGTTAATATTGATAACAATCGAATATCGTTGATGAAATGTAGAAAGGGCCTGACATTTTTTTTTTCAAAATTAGGGTTTTTGTATCCCCAAGCAGCTTTTACTAAAACCCACATCAAGCCTGACAATGGATGACGGAAATTCGTTCCTAAATGTGGGCCTGTTCGAGGCACGTAATAAAAGCGGCAATACTGCAGCGCGAGACTTGCAACTTCCAAATTGATAAAACGATGCTAGAAATTGACACCGAACGTGGTACTTTAATAATTCTCGCAAAACTATGATGCAATAATACAAGGTGGTATCAATTATGACAGCTCGCTTTGACACTGCCTTAGCTCAGTAGACCGAGAAGAAAAACGGGAAGAAATTGAGCCCCATTTGGTGGAAAAATATAAAATTTCACAATGTTATTGTGGTTTATTAAAATTTTAGTTTTAATATTTTTTATTGAGCTTTGTTTATTAGGAAAAATTGAAAAAGCAACAAAGTCTAAGCGGTAGAAGTTATAGCACTATTTCGGAGATCACCACTTCAGAAGTCTAGAAAAAAGAACGAAAACGCAAGCCGCGAATATTAGGTTAGCCTGTTAGACATTTAAAATTTCCTCAAAAGTGACAGTTAAAATAAACGACAAGTCGGTTGTATTTTCATTTGGTTCTTGATTATCTCTTAAATCACCCTGCAGCAAATTAAACTGGTTCAGAACTAGCGCCGAACTAGCTTGAAATGGAACGGTACTGGTTCTTCATCTATCTCTAATCCATGCTTGTAACTGTCTTTTCTAACATGGCGATGCCCTATGAAGTGGCCATGGCCCCCTCTGCAGAACTTTTGAGCTCGTTCTGAACTGGTTCCAATTTCGAGAGATCTAATGATAAGAATAAGTTTTTTTTTATGAAAAAAAATTTGATTATTAAATTTTTGGCTATTTTTAACCGACTTCACAAAAACCGATTTGTATAATTCTTTTTTTTTTTAAAGGAAAGGTGTTACCTCACAGGAGGTCACATAGTAATTCGGTTTAAATCCGATCATTGGGCCATGAAAAAATTAGCTATAATCTTAAATTTTTATATGAATATTGAAGTCGGTTTTGTTTTTTTGCTTTAAAATTACTTGTTTCTTTTCTTTTGCAAATTTCATTTTATTTATTTTTTATTTTTATATTAAACGATGTTGAGAGTCGGAGGTCTTCTCCCGCGGAGCTATTTTAGTATTGTACGAGAAATGAGAATGTGTGCATTTACTTCTCAGCTTTCACATGCTAATTGTGAGAAACTTTTAGGGCAGCGCAACTAGCACACCGAAGTTTCAACTGCCCCGCTCTGCAGGCGTTTTGCACTAGTTTAGAGATAGTTCCGAAATTTGTAGGTCGGATCTAGCGGTTTTTCAGACTGTCTCTAAATTTTACTGCAGACCCTGTTCACACTATCGGCTAATTTGCAATTTACAGCAAATTGTGCTGAAATCAAGTGCTTTGGCCTTAAAAAATCTCTCATTAAAATAAATAAAAATGAGATAATTTATCATGAATTAAGAACATGAAGAAAAAAAAAGACTTGCCATTTATTTTAGCCTCCACTGTTGAGGAAATAAAAAAGAAATGCCTAACGATATGTAACCCTTTAGTTCAGAGTTCTGCGCAAAAATACTGTGCATGGCCAGCCAAAGGCCGCCAACGCTGATTAGTGGGTGTTCTGTACAAAAATACTGTGGATGACGTAAGCCGAGTTTACATTTTCACTGCTTCCACAGGAGTCTGGGGAAGGGTTCGAGGGGTCAGGTATGACTTTTTACTGAGTTCGAACTGTGCTCTTTCTAGTGGGTGGGGAATCTCCTGTCACCAAACAAACAGAAACCTCCTAAGTGTATTTTTGCCAGCAGAAAGGTAAACAAATTTATTTGCCGCTCGGAGGGCTTGTGTTTTAACCTCGTTTAGAAACTCAAGGCGCACGTAATGGCGAAAAATTCAGCTGTCGCCCCAACACCATCTTATTCAAGGCGAATTTATACAAGGTGGTGTTACTGGCGAATTTAGATTACAACAACAACTCCCACATGTATTTTGTAATGCGGGTGTTATGTCAAATTTCAATTCGCCCCAAAGCTTACATGTATTTTTTGTTTTGCTTTTGATGGGTGTGCTGTCAGCAAAAGCAAAATCAAAATACATGTAAAGCGAAGAAATCAGCTGATTTTACAACACCACCTTGTATAAATTCGCCTTGAACTTATTGAATTCGCCTTGTAGCAAATGTTGTTCACATATATGTACATTTTGGTCCCGATTGGAGTCGGTTAAGACTTCTTAATAGGGTAATCTGAACTTTGACCCTTGTGCTATGCGCCTTAACCGACTGCAATTGGGACCAAAATATATATGTGATATCTTCGACCGTGGTATTATCGATTTTGGGTATTAGATGAAAAAAAAAAATAATTTTAATTTTTGGAGTCTCCATAGAGGAATCTGAACTTTGGCCCCTGTGCGACCGCCTTAACCGTCTCCAATCGGGACCAAAATTTATATGTAAGTCTGATGTAAAAATTTGCTTCCTAGTTTTGTCTTCGCGTACTTTTGTATACAATTCTCTCCTTGAGAGAGGACGGATAAAAATTCCATTAGAATTTTGCTGTTGGAGAGTTTTCTGCTGGAAGAATACGAGAATACACCTAATGTCAGCCGCACACATACGAGTACGGATCAAGGCGAATTGTGCTGATTGTCAAAATCATGTGTTTGTTGTACATTTTTTGGGTTCTGATTGTCATCGTACGCATCCTTTTGCTTTTTTGGGCTGCCGCTATCACCTTTTATGAAATCTCCTTGGATGCGCATGTTTTGTAGATCGGTCTTATTGTCACAAAGGCACATTAACATAAATTTAAAGAAGGTTTTAAGCTTTAATTGTTGAATACTGTTAATACTATTGTTAAAGAATAGATGAATTGACCGTAGCGAGTACAAGGCCTACCAATAGCGGCTGGTGATCATATAAAATTCTTTATTTACCATTGGAATTATCTTTGGGAAAGTATAGCAGAGCGAATTTCATACGAGTTCGCTCAATATATCGTAGTATAGATTTGGAATATAAAACGAAATTTGTTTCTCATGACTTTATATTTTTCATTTTCTATGATAATATTTCGTACACTATTCATATATTTTTTACATTTACATACATTTTTTTTATATGGATATGATATGAATTACACGTAAATTTTACACCTTAGTCTGTTGATATCAATCTACATACAATTTCACATCATCGCATTTATTATTTATTTATATACTTATTTACAACTTAATTACTGAAAACATAACTTAAGGTAATTAAAAAAAAAAGTATGTATGTACGTTTATATCACAATAATAGAGGAATACATTTCAAAAATATTATAATTAGTTAAGGCGCTACATGCGTTTTTGTTTACAAATAAAATTGACTTGATATATTTTATTCTAAAAAAAATATACATACATACAAGAGAGTAATACAAAATTATTAGAGGGAATAGCTTAAGTGCAAGAACTGAATTTAGCTAAGTGGCGATAAAAAAGAAAGCAATTTATGCATATGTACATGTGTAGGTACATATGTACATATGAGCATAATCGCGCAGTAGATTTATAAAACTATAATTGTTATAGTAGGTACATACGAGTATATTATATTCGGTGTATAAATGTTTTTTATTACAAATATACTTATACGTATGTATGTATGCATATACGAACTTACAGTATTGGCCAATACAATAGCACCCCCATTTCAAAGTGATATTGTTTCCCACTCATGTTTATTTATTTTTATGCATTTTCAATTAAAATACAGTTCATTCTTTAACAAAACCCATATAAACCCAGGTTGAATTTTTTTCGCCGAAGGTGTGGCGGGTTTCTTCCATATAAAAATAAATTGTGTTTATTCGTTATATGGAAGCAAATGCGACAAAAAAAGTTCTAAACAATCAACAGCAAATGTTAGCCACTTGAAACTTGCACATTGTAAGACTGAAATTGAATGGGCTATAAGACTGCGTACTCAAAAAAAATAAAAAATTCCAGCACTTTTGAGAAAATGTTTGAAATTTAGGTGAAAATTTGTTGCATTTTTTTGTAGTCCTTTACAAAGTTTAAAATTTGGGTCTATATGGTTTTTTTTTTAGAGAATGAACTGTATTTTAATTGAAAATTCTTAAAGATTAACAATTAAACATAAGTGGCAAACAATATCACTTTGAAATGGGGGTGCTATAGATATGGCCAATACTGTATGTACACATATAGCTAGCACATGTACATACATAAGTCATGCGTTATAAGGATCTTAAAACTTGCTAGGCTTTTCGGAGCACACAACAAAAAGTATTATCAAGTAATATGGTCCATACAATGACATAAGCCTACATTCACACTTAAATATTAAATATAATGTACACGTATGAATGTATTTAGTGGTACTACTGAAGGCAATTAATTGTATATTTTTATATGCAATCCGTTAAGCATCGATCAATGCCACCTCAGTTATCATTTGATAGATTTGTGATCTTCGTCGCGTACATATGCGCCACTTTGTAAATAAATTCGTATTGTTCCTTAGTTTGAACAGCGCTCGCCCGACCCCTCCGCACATAGTAAACAATTTGTGGAATGTCAACAGAACGCTTTGGTGTCTCCAAATTTCGTATGGCCATGTCACAGGCGATGATGGTGCCGGTGCGTCCAGTACCTGGAGAGCAGTGAATCGTTAAGGGACTAAAAGTAGAAAAAAGAATATAGAGACCAAACAGAAAAACAAACATGACGAGGACAAAGCAGGGGGAAAATTGACATAGAAAAGCAAATTCTGAGCTTATTCAAAACTTTAAAGCATTCTGAAAGTTAAGTCCCGCATACTTATACAAATTACTATATTCCAGAGGAGGATGGAAATTCGATTTATGATAAAATGAGTTGATTTGAACTTAACCAAACCATTTAATCATAAAGCGAACCTCAATTTTCCGGTCCGGAGGCTCTGTAATAGATAAGCACAAATATTTTCATAAGTATATGAGCTCTACTGATATTTGAAAAAAAAAACTATATATATATATATATCATCTATGCCTCGAAAAGCGATCGCAGCGACGAATCGCGAAAACTTTTGTACGATCGTCACCTAATCTTGGATTCAAGTCCAATGGATCGCTTAAAAGAGTGCCAAAAGACTCCTTATTTATTACACTTAACCCCAGTTCCCACAATCAATTTTAAATCTAACAGCCTGTCAAAATTTAAATGATACAATTTTGTTTGGAAAATTTGCAATTTTATGCCCTTATTCATAAAAAATAGAGTAGGTTTAAAGAGCAATTTTAACAGTTTGTTGCTATCGGTCTCCCGCATTTTATTTCATAAGAAATTCATGCTGATATGAAAAAAAGTGCAAAAATCCGCCACCGAAAAAATTCTCAAAAATCAATGGGAACTGTAACTTGAACGGTATTTTTATAGAGAAATAACAAAAAAATTTAGCTCGAGAAACATTACGAATATTTAAAACAAATCCACACGTGGTCATTTGTTTGAGTCACTGTATGTGTGGACATATGTATGTATATTAGGGTATATACAGGAAAACCAACTTCTCCCGCTGCCAACCCTCAGAACTGTAAAATATCGAAAATAAGGAGACCTCCATTTTTTTATGTGGGAAAAAACTTTGAACCACGCCATGTATATATGCATAAATTGCTGCATTTTTTCGGTTTTCAGAGCTTCTAATCTTAATCCAACGTCTGCCTTGAAATAAGCTCAAAATAAGCCAAATACAAGTATTGTTATCACAGGGCAAAAACAAATTTTTATTAGACTTATTCGCCATCACTTTAAACGTACCCTTGATTCCTTAACGTCGTACCCTTCACTTTATCCGCTATTGAAACATTGCCATTTATTTCCGCACCTCCTCCTCCTCCTCCTCCTCCATTCTCTGTAGCTGCTCCATTCGCACGTCCTGTTTCGGTTGTTTTTTGTTGCCCCACATCCTCCATCGATATAACGGTGACACCATTGCCATTCGAGGTTACTTCACCGTCAGCATTTGACTCGCGCTCCGCATTCGAACTCTTTTCGCGCACTTCGTTGACATAACCTTTGAGAGATGAGCGCGCCTCTAATAGCATTGCAATAATGGGCGCCTCTTCGCTGGGCACACCCGTTTCGGGCCATTTATACCAGTAGTGTGTGAGTTCGCGACTCATATTTTCGGCTGTGTTCTTGAGCATCAACGTCGATATGGCATATTTATCCTTGACTTCACGATGCTTCAATGTTATTTGGAAGTCACCATAGGTTGTGTGATTGTCCAATGTCACCGAGGGTGGCAGGTACTCGGCACACTTCTCAATGCCATTCTCATAGAGATCGGTTGCTTGTATGATTACGCGTGATTGTTGTTCCCAAATCATGCGCCAGAAATCGACCACTGTTGTCTCGAGTGGGGCCTGAGTTGCGATATAGTAATTCGGGGCGTCCTTGGGACCCTGCAAATGTGAAAATTAAATAATATTGATTAGATTCGATGAATAAGGGAGTAAGAAATGTGTAGCATTGTACGAGGGTGCCTAACAGGGCCTTAGAATACTAAGAAAAAAAAAAAAAATTTGCCGGTAAAAGTGGTCTTATGGGCCTTTCCAGCAGTGAATGCGTTGTCCGTGAAGTTCATTCCTGATGTACGGGAAAAATAAAATAACCACTAAGTATATAGGTGCCAAATCAGGACTGTACGACGGATGACCCAACAATTCATGTTTTGAGTGCTTCAAAAAACCAATTTGTTTGTGGGGGTGTGTGAGAGCTTGCATTTTCTTGATGAACGATTATATGCCGTTCCTCCACACATACGTCCAAGACCAAAAAAATGGTACACAACCATTTTCAAACTTTTTACAAAATTATAAAAATTCAACAAATTTTCACCAAAATTTCAAACTTTTTATTCGAAATTTAAAAAAATTGTTTTGCTATGCAGTTTTATAATTTATTTTTTTTGCTGACAGTGCCACTTATTTTTTTTCTTAACTGCCTTGCACCCCTTAAAAAAATGTATTTTGTAGCCACTTGAAACGTGCACTTTATTATACTAAAATCGAATGGGCTATAAAATTGCACACCAAAAAATTTTCTACAAAATTTTAATAAAAAGTGTGAAATTTTGGTGAAAATTTGTTGAATTTTGTAGAAAGTTTGAAATGTGGATTTATATGGTATTTGTTGTATAACTACAAAGAAATATAGCCAAAACTGGCGAAAATAAGGCGAGTCTATTATTTCTGCTACCAGTATAAATATATATATACCTCTTCTCGTTGTTCATCGCCAACGAGGCTTGTGCACGCCTCCACTCCGCAGCGACTAGGTTCAAGTCCTGGTCAAACAACATCACAGCAAAAATAGAATTTTTTTTTTCTTAGCAGCGGTCGCTCCTCTGCAGGCAATGGCAAACTCCGAGTGTATTTCTGCCATGAAAAATGCCTTTCATAAAAATACAATCGCCGTTCGGAGTTGGCGTAAAACTGTAGGGCCCCCCGCTTTGTGTGACAATATCAAGGCACACGCCACAAATCGGAGGAGAAGCTCGGCCAAACACTAACATATGTGCGTAAGCGCCATCTATTATTATTATTACGGTGACCATATTAACCAACGTAAAATAAAGGACTTGTTTTCAAAATTATTTGGGAATACGTACATACAACTTGTATGATAAAAGTACCTTACCCTTATCGTAACTTAAATCAAATATTCACCAGTTAATTATATTATTTAACTGTACAAGTTCCCCTGCTGTAGCGAAAAATTAAGCCAAATCCTTTTCAAGGACTTCGCCATCCTTTGCTACCAAAATGCGTTTACCATAATTCATACTGCACAACGAAGCCAGCACACATCGGTTCAAATTGGAATTGGAATGATCATAATGCACCGGAGCTTTACACCCCTATGCTGTAATCCGTCGTAGATTCGATTTTGCTACGAATCTTAAAATTGGTATGCTGTAATCCGCGTTGCCGTATCGTAATCTCGAAATTCGGAGACCATCTTCGAAATTCGTAACGTTGGTATGCCTGAATCCGACGTAGCTGTAATTTGTATGTATTTGTCGGAAATTTCTACGAAGAGCAACTGGTGTCGGAGCGAAGCGAATTCTTTTAAAATATCAATAAAATTAAGTGTGGAAACGCGCAAATATGTATTTAAGTTGAAGTGTGAATAAAAACCAATGTATTATTAAATGTTTACAAAATTATCATGTCGACAATCACAACAAATCGCTTGCAATACGAAAAACTGGTGGAAAGCATGAGCGAAAGGCCGACAATGCCCGAGGCTTTGTAATAGTTAAAGAGGATGTGGTGGAATTTTGGGAAAGCGTTGCAAGATTTAAAGCAACACAATATTTAGTTGAATGGACGCCCTTAAAAAGAGGGAACATATATTTATCATTTAAGGTAAATGGATCAGAACTGTCTCGTAGCAATCTCCTTTGTATATTAATGCAACAGTTGACTGCAGCATGTTCTTCCTCCTGAGACAAAAGTGCACCGGCCACTGAATCCATTCTATTTTACTTAATTAAGGAAAAGCTTTTTCAAATACGATTAAACATTTTTTTTTAATTTCACTGTTCACTTGCGATTATATTTATTTTGATTTGTTTCAGTCAAAGCAGCTGATTAAGAACTTCGAATTTCCCTATTTTAGTTGGCAACGCCGTTGATAGTTACGATCGGATTACAGCATACCAATTTTCGAATTTTCGGAACGGAGCTACGAATTCGTAACTACGAACTTTCGGATTACAGCATAGGGGTGTTAATTTTTCAACCAATTTTTACTTAAAACCAAAAAAATATTTATTTTGGCGAACATTTTTTTATAACATTTACATTTTTTTGGTATTTTTTTTTTGGGGGGGGAGAACTATACAATTGTTTTTATCTAGTTTTTTTTTATGTAACATTTATTAACTGGAACCGGAAGATACATTTTCTTCAAAATTACTACTTTATCTGCATTCTGCACTAAAAAATTTTATAAATTCAAATAAAAGTTCAGAAATCAGGCTCAACTGGTCTCTTGCAAATAGCGTAAGATTTCATAAAAAAAATTAAAATTAATCAAATTAAGTGAAAAATTAAAGCTCCAGTGAATTACGAACACTAAATGCCAGTTTTTAACCACTGTGCAGTAGGGGATTTATTGTTCTCTTTCAGTGGAACTGAAAACTCAGCGTGCAACACTATCCTGGGCACAACTTTCCCTGTACTTTATAGATTGTACAAAGATTACGGATTAAATAGAAACCCTTAAGTGGGGTGCGAAACAAACTGGCGAAGGTTTTCATTATATTTTATAAGGGACAGTTTTATTTTTTCATATTCTGCGTTAAAAAATTTATCTCTGAAAAATGCAGAGCCGATTTAAAGGACAGTTTAAGAACAAAGATAAAGGACAGGGGGTTAAAATAAAGGACTGTCCTTTGAAATAAAGGACGGATGGTCACCGTAATTATTATAGTCTTTTTAGTGACACCCGTATTTGTCTTAGATAGAAAGTTAAAGTTTTATTATTGGTCGATTATTGGTATTTACTCTTGGTTTGGTTTATTGGTTTTATCATTGGTAGTTACTCTTTAGTGAAGACGTATTTCTGCTCATTTCAGTGAGCTTAGATAAAAATTACTTTCCTATTTTTGGAAGTGGAAATATGTTTAGAGAATTGGAATTATAAAATTAAATTTTTTTAGAATATCCTGAAGCCCAAAGATAACTTTTTTCTGATTGAATCGGGATTTTCTCAATTTGTCTCAATTTGCTACATAATGGCTGCAATTGTATTATTAATACTCTATACACTAACAGTTTAAAATTTAAACTCCCTTACCTGCACTCATTATTTCAACTTTAAGTGCATGAACTTAACTGAATGGTAGCTTTTACATAAGGAAGTTTTTTAAATGCGCACTTTCAGGCATTTTAATCTCTTGCAGCTGAAATGCTACACTTGTTTAATCAGGCTTTGAAAACAGATTTCCAGTTTTAGCAGCAAATGAATCATCATTCAAAAACACCAGCAATTATGACATACATACATACATACACCTGCGTTCAACTAATTAGCAGCGAAATTCAAAATGATACTGTTTGCAACTTACGTTTATTTATTTATTATGAATAATTTCCATTTTAAACATAACTCAATCTATAACCGAAATCACATAAATAAAAATTTTAAAAGCTTGCACAAAAAAAAGTTATGTAATAAAACATCAAAAAATTGTCATCAAAATTTCCAAATTTTTAATCAGAATATTTAGAAAATTTTCGGGTACGCAGTTTTGTAGCCGATTCAATTTTAATTTAATAAAGTGCAAGTTTCAAGTCGCTAAAAATTACCGTTGATTTTTTCGAATTTTTTTTTTGTGGAGGGTGTTGCGGATTTTTATTTTTTTTCATATAAAATAAGTTAATAGTAAAAAATAATATTTTTAAAGCAAGCCTTCTAAATATGAACGAAATCGGACCATAAATACTGGTTTATCGAATATATCGGCTCGTGCGCCACCTATGGGCAAAATTTAATGCAGTTATTCCTTTTCATGAGGCTAATATATATACGTTCTAAATATGAAACAAATGGGACTATAAATACGGGTTTTTCTCGACTCCTGAGCCACCTTTCGGTATAACTCATCTTTGGTATTGTCATCGGGAGGTTGGCCAAAAATTGGCCCCTAACGAAAATACTTAAAGGCGCTACATAATTACTTGAACGCAGATGTACATAAAATATATAAGTATGTAAATACTCGAATGCAAAGTAAAATGTGCCTTTAAAAGGTAAATACAAACATTAAACAAATTAATAGTTAAAATCTGCCATTTAAGGTGACATTTACCAGGGGTTGTCGTCAGGCCACCAACGCAATAAGCACGACTTATTTTTATAAATGTCGTAAGTTCATAAGTATATACATATGTACATACGTACATGCATAAGTATTACATACCAACAATCGATGTGGCCAACAACACTTTGCTGCACTCGAAACCCATTAATCACGCCCTTCAATAATTCCAAACAAGCGTACACAAAAAGACACAGAATTTCTAACTATGAAGAAGAGCTTGTGATATTTAGTTGAAAAAGAACGAAATCGTTAGTCAAAAGCGAAATTGCAAAAATATCAAAATTGAAAAGTCGCCAAACTCGTGGTTTTCAAAGCTACAAACATACAACTATGTATGTATGTATGTAGTATTCTGGTAAACTGCACATGTCTACACCCACAACTTCCCGCCAATTGACTACCTACGTACAATGTATGTATGTATGTAGGCAAATTTTATAATGCGCATCATGCATGGATCAATGTGCACAGTGAGTCACGAAAGTACTAAGTACTAAGTAATAACTTGGTTAAATGACTGCAAATAAAATTGAAGAAATTGGGTTAAAATTAACAATATTTCGCCAATAGAATTAGTCCACCTTATTCATTCTGAGTCCATATAAATACTAAAATATATGTATGTATATGGGTTCCTTCTCTTTAGCTCGCTCGTCTTTCGGCGTTATCCTTGACATAAAGCTAACTTGGAAGCCAAATGTTATGGAACGGGAAGAAAGTCAGTTCGAAAATGCCCTATCTCAGAATTTCAGTGAAAAAACACCCTTATCTCAGAATTTTATTTAAGAACGCCCTATCTCAAACGAAAATACATAAAAAAAAATTTAAGATAAGGTGTTTTCGAACTGGCTGCGAGTTAGGCCGATCTTTCACTCGGTCGTCGATGTGGGGTCATTATCTGATGGAATTCACTAGAAAAGTATACTCTAGTTATGAAGCCAGAGCGCTTGCAAAGGGCCGTCCTTGTTGAAATCAACGCAGTGTTCCGTACCACTCCAATGTAGCGTTAGCGCTATGCTCATCTACGATCCTATTGACATTGCGGGTAAGGCTGCTGCGTAATGCTAAGAAACTCTGGAGTTTCCTGCAACTCGGCCTACGAGCACTTGGTGATCTTTGGAAACTTCGACTTCATACCATAAACGAATCGGTGATTGACTCTCTACACATATCCCCCTTAGGAGTGAATGGGAGAGCAGCAGCCTCTAGCGGAAAGTTATAATCAACATTTTTACGGATGCATAAGTTCGACGGCAAAGTTGAAGCAGATATATTCTGTCTGTCAGGAACTTTGCGTAAATATCATGTTAAGGCTGCCTTATTTTTGTAGCGTTTCTCAGGCAACGGTGGCCACTAAAAAAAGGCAGCCGACCGGCAACGCATAAGTATATTATCGATTAGAAGGGCTATTTTGAATTGAAAAATTTTGAGACTTTATTTACAAAACATAAAGCGAGAACTTTAGTTAGCAGTTACAAAATGTTTGTTGCCAGCACAGAAAAGACCTGCAAAAGGGTAAATATCTACTCTAATAGGGAAATTGGGCGTCGGGACATAAAAAAATATATATATTTTAGGGATGAGTTATCGTTTGAATAAAATTAATTTTCGTAATGAAAAGTGTTGTCTTACAAATACTCGTATTTTTGCAACCAACTGTGTGCACAGTGTAATGTACATACATACATACTACATACATAAAATGCCGCTCCCGATAAACTTGATTTTAGGTATAAAAGTGGCAATGGAGTGCATCGAGCTTCATGATTTAAGCTTAATGTTTTGAGCGTGTAACTTAATTGTTGAAGCGTTCACGCTAAAACGCTGCTGGCCTAGACGACAAAGTGACGTAGCGCTCAACGGCAGCTGATGATCTTACTTACATACATACATTCATATGTATGTGGATATACAGAATGTATAGGGTGATCCATCTAGACCTTTTTTTAATTCTAAATAAAACACTTAAAACTGAACTCGATGTCGGAATATTTATTGTCACCCGAAAGAAGAATCTCTGACATTTACTTTTTAAAAATAATTTCATTCAAATGATTAATTTAAAATTAAAAACAAAACAGTCTACTTTGATTGGTTTCATGTTTTTAGATATTTCCCGCAAAATTTCGAAGTGGGAGTAGAAAAAAATAGTCGCCGGAAAAAAGCGCCCTAATGTACATACATATGCATCTATGTGTGTTTGTATAGGTATATACATACGTACATATTTTATACTTGTGTAATGTGATCTAAGATTCGCGTAACTTATGCGTAAATCGTTTATACAGAAAGAGAGAAAGGACGGAAAAAAACGGAACATCAAAATGATCGCGTAATTTTGAGCTTGCTGCGCTTTATAATTACAAAAGCAACAATGTAAAGCGAAAGCAACAAAAATAAAAATAAAAATAAATATAAGTAACTGACATTCTCGACAGGTACATCTGTACATATGTACATATATTTGCACAAAAAGAGATAACGTACACACAAAGGCAAGCGAGATAGTCAGTATAAATAAAACAAAGGCAGTGAAACAACAAAGAGACTTTGTCATCCAGCTGAGAAGATTAGTTGCAACGATTCGATCTACTCCAGTGATTTAGTTAGCGGATCGCTCAGTAATTTTAATATACCCGTACATTGTACACACACCAACATGTGTGTATGTACTACATAAATGATTTGTGAGATTTTATAAACAAAGTTTTTGATAACAAATTCAGTTAAAAGTTATCACACAATTTAACCCATAATAGCAGAACACTGGAAAAAATTCCATTATAATAGGAAAGGATACTCATTAAAGACCTAATAGAATTAAAAAAACAAAAACAAAAACTTGCATTATTAAATTAGTTTCAGCATTTCTTAAAGATCAGTGTTTAGAAGAAATTCGCCAATGCAGAACTTTCAGTTTTATAAAGTTTATAACTATTTACCGAATAAAAAATAAAACAAAAATGTTAGATAGGGCCTTTCTATGTATATTACATATTTACATATACATATGTATGCACTTTATTGTTATTATTTTCGTACTTACCCTGACATAATTGGCATTGATATATTCCGTTTTATCGTCGTCTCCAAGCTGCTGTAGTACGACACGCGTCTCAGGAAGCGGTATTACATTGGCATATCTAAATACGGTAGCCAGTCGTCGAATGTACAGACAGTCAAATAACAAAATAGACGCGGTACATAGAAAGTAGAAAAAGAGAAACAAACAAACGAAATATGTATTAGAACGCTTGGCAATGATACGAAGGAAATTCAATTAATTAATTAAGAGCTTAAAATCTCGAAAAAAAGCGCGATGATGACTCAAGACGGCATATAACATATGTACATACAGACAAAAGTAAATGTCTCACGTATTAGGGTGCAGTTTAATTTTAAACTTTTTAATATTGTTCACAATACAAAGAGTACAAATATGTGCGAGAGTCAATTTTTGAACACATAAAAAGTCAATAAGTTCGCAAAACTAGGGATCAAAAATAGTAAAACTGCGCTTTTAGCATTTCTCTCTGACGTGAAGATTTTTTTAAAAGGGCTAAAATTTTATATTTATGTTTAATTCAAAAAACTGTTTAAAAAATTCAGTGCAATGTATGTACAAACAATATAGGAATCAAGAAAAAAATTATTAGCTTTATTCATAAAAATTAAGTAGGTTTAAAAAGCTTTATACAATTTATAAAGCTACTTTATTTTTAAAGCCACTTTATTATTTATGAATAAGTGTGTACATTTTTTGGTGCTTGAGGACGAAAAGGTATTGAAAGTGTCCTTTTAAATTTTTATTCTTGAATATCCTTGAAAATTTGCAGTATGCATGACCACATCCTCCAATTTCGTGCTTCTAGCTTTATTAGCTTAAAAAATAAAACTAAATAAAAGGGCATTTTCAATACCTATTCGTCCTTTTAAATTAAAGAAATTTATTTTTTTTTAAATTATAAAGAATTGTCTCTTTCATTTGGCACCTATATTGTTATTATAAATTCTGCTGAATTTTTAAAATATATTTTTTTGAAATAATCATATCTTGGAAATTTCAAAGTCCTTTAAAAAATATTGGCGTTAGAGTGAAAAACTAAAAACGCAGTTTTACTATATTTGGCCAATAGTTTGGAGAATGTATTGATTATTTCGCGTGTTTTGAATTTTGTGTAGTATGGGGTCATACAATAAATCAATTTTGCAAAAACGGAAAATATGAAATGTCTGTAATTTTTCAGTTGATATAAGGTTTCTTCCTATTCGATTTACAACGTAGACAATTTTTTTATTTCAGTGAGATATGTATTTAAAAGAATCGAGCAAATTTATCGAGCGAGAGTAACCCTAATGTACATACATACGTGCATATGAATATGTATGTAGTTTAAGTAAGTACCCTCATATGTATTTAATAATTACACTAGGGCGCCTCACAAAAACGGTTGCTGCCTTTCCACCGGAATCATACAATATATTAGGGCTGTTCGGGAAGTTGTGGAAATGGTCTGGGATTTGCAGTTGGAATTGCATTTGCAAATTTTATGCTTGCTGCCATGGCAACCGTGTGCATTTTATTGTTGTGAATTTACAAATGGAACAAATATGCAAATGTTTTGAAAAAAATAAAATAAAATAAGAAAATTAAGCCAATTTTGTTTATAAAAAGAACTAAATTTTTAGACGTATTTTTAAATCCATCCTGCCCATGTAAATCTTAAAATTTTTCAGATACATATGTATATTGTGGCAGAATTCTTAAAATATAGAAAATGTTTAATTTGAAAGAAAAAACATCACCGATTTTTTTGTATGGCGAGTGGTGCGACCTAATGTACATACATACATACATGTTGGTGTTTTGTTGGATTTTAAAAGCTTAAATGTCTGCCAAATAAACAAATGTAGCATGAAAACATTTGTTGAATGCGAGCTTCGGTCCGTATAAAAAATTAATCATATCTACATACTTCAAATATAATATTGTGGAGTGTTTATTGTCGCGTCATATAATAGATTGTATATATGTAAATACATATGTATTTATATTACTACGTATTTACCTACTAACAAGTATGCATGTATGTATCATAAGCACCTAAGTGCATACGCGTACATATGTACATAATGTATTTGTACGTATATTTGTGTGCAAATATAAAGATTAATTTTGAAATATTTTGATTCATGTGGTTAATAACAGTTTCATTTTTCCGTTTTTATATACGACCGATACGACCCAGTAATAAAAATCGAAGTGGGGTTAGACACAGGGCAAAAGACAGGTGGCAGTGTTTGCTGATGCTTGACACAGCTACCTGTGACTCTGCGGGCAGGTGGAATGAATGAAGTGAATATGATCCAACTCATATTATCTAGAAGACTTCTGACTGTTTGTGAGGGAAGATGACTTTTTAGCATTGATTCTGTCAAATTCGCCAAGAACGAAGTAGCGGTACTACTAAATGCGCCGCGCCACCTTTGTCTCTCTACATTGGATATAAATAGCTGTAATCAGACGGAATGTTACGTCGTTGTCAAGATGAGCTTTTTTAAACGGGCTACAAAGGAATGTGTGTTTCGGCAATATGGCCGCAGTACAACATAAGGAGCGGCTCTTGATGCTTTGTTTGATTTGCTACTCCTGGATTAAGCGATCCAAGAAGAGAAGTAATGAAGACGATTTCGATGATCGATGCTCCGAGCATAGAAATTTGATTAGGGAATTTGTCAGAATAATATCCTAATGACAAACTGATACGTGGAGACTCTTTTGGAAGCAAGAACGTCGTTAGCTTTCCTACAAGCGAGCAATCGAGAGGTTTGGTAAAAACTTTCTATAATGGAGACTTCACGACTGAAAATGGAACTGGATGGCATTTGGAGGGAAACTGTGGAGTTCAAGGCAATAAACTGGCTGATGATTTTGCGAACTGCGGTTCTTTAGAGCATGCAATTGGACCTGAGCCAATTATAAGGTCAATCATATCCGAAACTGATGTATGTATATCAGAGATTTCATTAGAATTGTTTTTGCAAAAATAGGGTGGTGACAAATTTTTCTCAGGCAGAGAAGGAGAGAGCTACGAGCTCTGATAGGAATAACGTGAAACAATCCATAGGAAAGACACATAGTGACCATATGTAGCATCGACGACCCCGGAACGACCCACATCTATATCTGGCCAAGGACTGTCACTCTAGCTGATTGCCCAAAAATGCTTTTATGGAATTTGTATGCTGTTAAAAAAATAACCACGACTCACTGTGTGCATCTTATTTGTAAGTTGAGGATCGTAGAGCGCATTTTTTCTGCAGCTATCTTGCCTTCGCCAGACTGAGTTCCATCTCTATACCAAATTCCATTATAAGGACTTTGTGTACTTTATAAGGATTTTCTGTACTTAAGAGAGCTCAATCCGCAATGTACATCTGTAATTTCTAAAGATATTTAGTTTGGGGGCAGTTACGTCGGATGGTTGCAATATGGCGTCGAAAATAATCTCCGCTAGAAATGAGCTTTACAAGATATTCAAAAAAATTTGACCTTCTAGATTAATTTCGGCCTACACACCGCCCAACGCCAAACGAATATTTGAGCAATTTTCAGTAAAATGACCTAAGAACCGCTTCTTTATCTTCAATGTTAAAAAGATAAGAGCACTTGCCTCGCATGAGATATGGCTGTATTTGTGTGTGTCTATGTACATAAAAGTATGCGTATACTATGCAGTAACGGTATTACAGTTAAAACTCAACAATTAATTTTGTCCATTTACGAGATAAGATATCAATCGCCCATACATGAGTGGACCTATTTTTTTAGCCAAAGTATAGAACTAAATTAAGCTAGCACTCACCGATTCTTATCTTCACAGCCTGGCGGTACTTCATCTGCACGCGCAATAATTTGCGGCACATCCCTAAATTCCTCGAAAATACTCGACCGACGCTCTACAAATTTGGCCAGCTCAGCGGCGGTAAGCGCATTGTGCCGCAACGATGGATCATCGAAGGCAATATTACCGTAAGAGCGTTTTGAAGCGCGTGAAGCACCTTTCCGCCGCACACTACCCAACACAGAGACATTATCCAAACTGTAGGCATCCAAACTCACCGGCCGGCAACGTTGACCATAGGACATCTGTTTCTGACGCTTGCGCATTAGATAGAGGAAAGCGACGAGCAATATGAGCGCCACCACACCAATAATGCTAACCGTAATGGCGATGATGACATTCACGTCCGTCTCGTTGGCATCGCTGGGATTCGGACGCATGCCGGCATTGATCATGTCAGGCAGGTGAGTGGGCGCACCGCCTCCGCCGCCGATGCTAGCACCTTCGCCGATAGCGGCATGCAGCGTGGGAGGAAGAATTGTTGTTGTTATTGCCGTGGCAATGGTACTGGTGACAACTGCGGGCATGTATGTGGATGTAGACGTTTCCAAAGGCGCATCAGCCGCGGTGGTCGAGCTTAACATTGGCACTAAAGGAGCAATGGCGGCAGTGCTGGTGCTGACGGTGGTGGTGGTGCCCTCGGTGGTGGAGAATACCGTGTAGACTTCTTGTGGTTTGACGCCAATACTGGAGATAGTTGCTGTCGACTGATTGGGTATAGCTATTGGCGTCGTTGTTCTTGGTGTCGACGAATCGTCAAGCAGGTTGATGAGCGGCGGCTCGGTGGTTGTTGTGTCGCTGGTCGAAAAATTACTATACTCAGGAGCCAGCCATACAGGTGTGCTATTCGTGCTCAAGAGTATATTAGCCATTGTGGTGGTTGTAGTGGCAGAGGTGTCGGTAGTAGTTGTAGTGGATGTTGTTGTCCTGTCTGCGTCCTGCATGCCGGGTAACAATGTTTCATTACTCGTACCGGAAATAGTCACAGTCTGCGAAGCATCAGCCTCACCTTTTAGTCCAGCGTTCTCCTTAGCGAACGCCACTTCAGTTGTCGATATTGCTGGCGCTACGCTACTTTCAGTGCTATTTGTTGGCTTCGTAGCGCTTGTCTCACTTATTTTCGCTGTCGTCTTGTCCAGCTGATCGATGACATTCGTTTCGATTGAGCTTTCTGTGTCATGTGCACCTTCCACCGCCGCCTCAGCTGTGTGATTTCGAAAATCGACAGGCGTTGCCGTAGTGGTGGCAGCGCTATTAGCGTGCACTGACCCAGTTGCCTGCACTGTTATTGTTTCCAATGGGATTGATGTGGTCGTTGTTGTTTCGTCGTTTACGCTTTCGTCGCTTTTAAGGGTTGTTGCCTCATATAGAACTGGTTCCACTGCTGCGCGCGTTGGTGTTGTCGTAATTGGCACTGATGTTGTATTTGTTGTTGGAATGGTCGTTGTTACGTTCACTGGCATTAATAACTCATTTATGGACGACACAGTTGTTGCGGTTGCGCTAGCCTCATCAATCGCCGTCGCCGTCTCTTCCACCACTTCGATTGTACTTGAACCTGTATCGGTATTCAAAGTCGCTGTCGGTGCGTCAGTTTGTCCCTCCGCTGCGACAGAAATGCGCACAGTGCGTGCTTCTAATTCCACTTCATTACCAATTTGGCCAACTTCCGTTGTTGTTGGCGCTGTTGTTGCTCTTTCGGTTACTGTCAGTGTGGGCACTTCACTTGGTTTTGCACTGGCATTTGTTTCCACCAAATCGGTTGACAATGTCGTAGTGGTGTTGTTTAAAAAATTAATTGTGCTCGTTGTTGCAATGTTACTACTTTCTGTGGTAGTTTCCGTGGCAACATTTGGCGTTCGGTTTTGCGTCCAAATGCCCGCACCCGTTTCCACGGTCGCATTCGCGTTTGCATTCACGTTCGCGTTCGATTTTTGCTCGCCTGCACTTGTCGAGCCGTGCGTTTCGCTAGACGGTAGCTCACTAACTGTAAGCAATGGCGTTTGCTCCTCAGTCGCAGTCCCTGTTTCGGTCTCGTTGCTTAGCGTTTCGTGTTCTGGGCTCGCCTGCTGTTCAAGTGTAACGTCGTGTATGCTGCTGTCATTGCTGCTGACAACGACTTTCCGTTCTGTAGCGTTGACGCCCGCGTTAACTTTACTCAGCAGCGTAGCTAGTGTCGTCTCAGGTTGCGTCTCCAGTGCCGTTGCATTTGCCCAAAGCTTTGGTGTTGCCGACGCGTCGCTGTGGGAGGGTGATGTCGTCGAGGTTGACTGCTCAACTGGGAGCGACGCAGCCGTTGTTGTTATTGCCGATGTTTTTACGTTAGCTGCCGCTGTGTCGGCTTCCTTCCACACCACTGCCACTGGCGTCGTTGACGTAACAATGAAATTGAAATCATCGCTTGCCTGCTGTTGTGTGTTGCTCTCCACAACTGCGCTCAAATTTCCTACAGCTGTTGGGTCAGCGCTCTGACGCTGCGTGGGTGATTCAGTGGACGCAGTCGACGACAACAATGAATTATTCAGCGACTCTCCAACGTCAGCTGCCACAATGGTGGCTATAAAATCCGCATGCTTATTATTCTTATCAATTGATAAGGGGGAGTCATTTGCTAATGGCGTTTGTGTGTTGGTTAAACCAGTAGGTGCTATTGTTGTTGTTGTTGCTGCTATGGTTTGAAGTGTGTCAATTTCATTCATCACATATGTGACGGTGGACTTTTCGCTTACATTCAACTTGGCGTTGCCTTCGGTAGTCTGTAGGAATGTGGACTCATTGTTTTTGGTACTGTGCTCGATCTGAGAAGGTCCCTCAGTTCGCCAATTCTCTAGCAGCGCCTGCAAAGGCACGTCTGTCTTTGGCTCCTTCCCTGTCTCTATTCCATCCTCTTCCAACGTTCCCTCTGTTATGTGATTTCTTTCCACAGCGTCGTGTGTTTCCAACTCGCCACGCATTCCCATTACTTTCGTCCAGTCTAACAAATTTTTCTCACTGTAACTGCTCACATTCGGCGTGCGCTCAGTGGTTACGATTTCATTTAGTTGCCAACGAGAATTCGCACTGCTTCTGCTCTCATCGGTGACCTGCGTGGACGTGCCGTTGTTATGCATTACTTTGGGCACCATTCTCATACCTGCGAGGGACCAAACCTCCGGCGCGTCAGGCAAATTCATATTTCGCGAATTTGTCGAATTGCCGCTGATGAATTTGCCTCGCTTCTCGGCTGAGGAAGTGCTGCTGCTAATATGCGACTGATTGGCAACTTCTTCTTGTGTGTGCATCATCTCTTCGGCTGCTGTTGTTGTCATCGTATCAGTTTCAGCCTCGATCGTGACAGCTGCGCTTGAACGTGGCTGCTGCTGCAGGTCTATTTCGGCTGCTTGCGCCTTTTGCTGCAGCAGCTGCTGCTGCGCGGGGACATCTGTTTCGGTTTGATTTATTTGGTGTTTATTTTGAGTTGGCTGGTCCGGTTTGGTTGTTGCTTCCAAATCCATGCCGGTATTTTCCCCTTTTCCAAGTGAGCTTACAGTTTCTTCAGTACCACTTTTAGTTGCTAATATTGGTTTTGGCATGGATGTAACCATAATTTCCTTTCCTCGCATTTCTTCGCTGAGCGCCTTCTCCCCAAAAGCTGCTTCCAACTTATTTTCGCTACTCTGTACTGCATCCATTGAACGGCCCATTGTTTCGCTGGCTTCATCTAAGCTCTCTGCTTTGTGTCTGCTTTCCGCTACACTCGCCACGCTTTTTCCAGCATCCTCAGTACGATCTTCACTTGTGATCGGACGATCAGTTGTTGCTTTGCTAACCTTCACTGCTACATCTTCTACATCTTTTAAGATACCCTCGGTTGTTGCTGGAGGCTCATCTTTGACCTCCGTAAATTCATTGCTTTTTGTCTTTTCATTATTAAGTCGTAGCGCCAATTCATCCAAACCGTTGTTGACATGCGTTTTTAAGGTTTCGCGGGTCCGCGACTTTTCTGCCGTCTCATCCGCTTGACTAAAGACGCCACCTGTATGCTTGTTGCTCACTATTTGCTGTTCTGCAACAGCATTGTTTGCGCCCAAATGCTTATTCGCCGCCTCCTCTGAATCGCGTTCATCCTGACTTTCCCTCTCCCTCTCCTCCTCTTCCTCTCTTTTACCCTCAACCGTTTTGGCTTCTTCTTGCCCATTCGCACTGTCCGTCTCATGACTTTCCACCCGATTCAGTATTAACTTTTCGCTTGACTTGTGCTCACCTGCGCTTGTGTGATTATTACCCAATGCAGGTAATAACTTTGTGCTTTTTTCCACTCGCTTGCTTTCACTTTCACCGCCCGCGTCAGCTGTGTTTGCATTGGCGGCGATACCTTCTACTGACTTTAGTTTCAATTTGATTTGATCGTCGCTATAGCTGACGCCCCGATCGGTTGCTGTCGCTGCCACCACGGCGGCAATGTCACGGTCACTGGCAGTGACGGCCTTTGAATTCTCCACCGCGTCATCGAATGATGGTTGCGTTGGTTGCCGCAATATTTGTGCGGGTGACAAGACGCCTGCAAAAACTTGTGCAAACAGTCCAAAAATGAGTAACTCAAATAGTGTGGTTGTAAATCGCTTTGGCATTTTGGCATTTAATTTTGGGGGTGGAGAGAATTAGTGCACGTTTACGGCTCTTCTATATTCGGTTTCCAAAGGCTTAGTTGAACTTTTCCAAATTTTAATTTCGTTTCCCGTTCCTTTTCCCAGCCCAGTCGTCCGTTGTTGTTTTTGATACTCTCTACGCTGACTTGGTTTTTACCGCTTCTGTTGTAATTGCTTTTCAGTTTTTCGTAATTGTTTGCTGGCATTCCATGTTTCCATTTTGGGCGCTCATAAGTCTCTACACAGCGTGGCGCTTGCGCAGTCGAGGCTTCTTTTATCGTTGTCTTCAAAGTAGTTTCAAATTGGCGCATTTAATGTATTCAAATCGTTTTGACCTTTATGGTAACTGCAAATAAAGAAAACCATTTGTTAATGTAATTTGTGGAAGTTTTGATTACAAAAAAAAAAAACGAGATATTAATTGCAGCTATTTATGAGTGTGGAGTTTCAAGCGTGGAGTTTGTTTCGGTATCAACTTAAAATCAAACACATTTTTCTTATCCAGAAGTAGTAATTAAGCCTTAAGGTTTAAATAGAAACAAACGAATATTTAATAGGCTACCGTCGATGTTTTGAAAAACAAAGCGTCTAAGGTTCGATAGTTGGACAAATAAGTGATCAATGAAAGCTTATACAGCTTCGGTTTGTATTGAAGGACATCTTTAGAATTACCAGGGTTTTAGCAAACCTCAAAAACTTCTCGTTCATATGTTCAAGATGGCAAACAATTTTGATAGATTCCAAAAACTTTTCCAAGGTCAAACTTGTTAGAGGCGTAAAAGCTTAAGGAGCGTCACATACCATCTCTTTGCGAGTTTACAATTCAGTATTCCCGCAAAATTTATATTGCGATGTAGTATGCCAGTGAACCAACACACAACCGCGGAAATAACCGCAAATGCGAGAGATAACAGACATCTGCATCTAAACGTCACAAAGCCACTTGGGTATCCCCTGATCAAAAAACAAAACTAATCACGTTGTGTTAGACATATCGAGCGTTATGGACGTGCGTTCCATCTAAGGGGTCAACATCGACTCGGATAACTACTTAGTCGCAGCTAAGGTCCGCATCTGCCTCAGTGAAGTAAAGAACGTGCGTCAGGCAAGGCGACTAGAGTACGAAGTCGAGAAGCTGCTGTCAAAACTAGGGATGTCGGAAAAACATCGATGCATCGAAAATATCGATGTTTTGCTTCGATGCATCGATGTGGCAAAAAAGCCACAGCTAACTAGAATTTTTGTATTGCCTGAAGCGATATGGGGGCTTATAATTCGATGAAATGATGGATCATAATCAATCCAAAAGTGAATTTTGGATATTTAGTTAGTTACGGCTTTACGTCCTTTCCAGGTGCAAATCAACACCCACCATCGTTTTGTCGATTTTAAAGCCGCTTTTGATACCACGAAGAGAATCTGCCTGTACGATCCATTGGGAAGCAGCTCTCGGTGCCGTTTGAGACCAAATGAGGTTTTAGACAAGATGATTCACTGCCTTGAGACTTTTTCAATCTATGCTGTACCGCGGAAGCCGAGCTGCCAATCTGAATCGCATTGGTACCATATGATGTTGACATCGTCGGCTTGAAACCCAGTGACGTTAACGCAGCATTTTTACCTCATAAAAAAGCTAAAAAGGTAAGAGGTTCGTCTAGCGGCGAACGCGGAAAACAACAAAGTACCTTCTGCCAGCAAGTAAAAAGTCTTCAGGTATTGCAGCACTTGTCACTTTTGGCTGTTATAACTTTGAAGTAGTGAAGAACTTTTTCTACCTAGGATTCAATGTAAACACCACCAATAATGCGAGGCTGGCGATCAAGCGAAGAATAATTTTGCCAACAGGTGCTACTTTAGGCTCGGTAGGCAAATGAAAAACGCAGCACGATTGGGGGCTTTCGAGAGAACTATTTTGTACAAGATGTATGGCCCCGTTCGCGTGGGTTACGGTTGTAATTCGTGTCTAATGACAATGCTAGTGCACAAATAGGTATTTAGGTGCATTATCTATTTATAGATATATAAGTACCTATTGTATGTATGTATGTATGTATGTATGTATGTGTGTATGAAAATCGCAGGAGTTCATTAGCCGTAGTGTTTGTTTAGCTTTTGTGCTGCTTTTGTATGACAGAAGGCGAGAGTATGAGTATTTATCTGCCTATCTTCATCAAACACATCAACTGTTTCGAACCCCACATACGATTTATGTATGAATATATAGGGTGGGCCAAATAAGACCTGGCAATGTTAAACAAAAATTTTTTTTTATCTCTACATGTACATGTGAAATTGTAAAAGCTCGATATCTGTACATAATGTACGTAATGTATTTTAAGGAAAACCAAATGGGGAGACTTTATTAGAGCAACAGCAGCCAAATTCAAGAATTTTTTCCTGTCTTTCTCAATATCTCACTTGTTTCACATTTTGTTGATTGACCATATTTTGTGTACTACTACGGGAACAAAATGAGAACAAAAGGTTCGGGAATGTTTGTGTAAAACAAAAAGTGAAAACGAACCTTCGGGAACGTTTCCCATGATAACAAAAGCATCGAGAACGTTTTCAGGGAGGGTGAAATAAGAACAAAAACTAGAACGAGAACAAAATTTTTGAGAACTTAATGTTAAGATCGAGAGGGGCGTCTATGTATTGAGAGGAAAAATCGTTTCAATGAGAACCAACTTCCAGATCATTTATCATTAGGGTGAACTGTCCATTATGGAATAATTTTTATTTTTCTATGCAATTAAACGGCCGCTGGGGTGTAGTGGTAAGCAGTGCGCGCTTTCACCCCGCTGCACCTGGATGCAAGCCCTGATCAAAGCAACATCGAAAAAAAATATAGAAAAAAGGTTTTTTCTTAACAGCGATAGTCCCTCGGCAGGCAATGGCAAACCTCCGAGTGTATTTCTGCCCAGAAAAACAGTTTCTCATAAAAATACTATCGCCGTTCGAGGTCGGCGTAAAACTGTAGGTCCCTCCGCTTGTGACAACATCAAAGCGCACGCCACAAATCGGAGGAGAAGCTCGGCCAAACACTAACATATGTGTAAGCGCCAATCTATTATTATTATGCAATTAAAGTTCGAGTCTTAAGTATTTCGTTGACTTAATTTGCAAAATTATCCTTCAGTTGTTTTTTGATTAATTTTAATGTTCAAACATTTCAAACCAATGGAAAGGATTAAGACAAATTTCGTTCTCGCTTTCATTCTTCGCGAATAGTTCCCGTTTCGTTCTTTGTCGAAAAGTTCCTGAGAATTTAGTTCCCAAATTGTTCTTCGAGAGGAAGAGTTTTGTTCCCGTTTTGTTCTCTTAGAAATGTTCCACAGGGTTATATAATTCCAGTTCTTTAGTTCTTGTGAAAACGCTCCCGAAGGTTTTGTTCTCCTTTCGGTTTGGGGTTTTAAGTGTTCTTGGTTGGGAACAAAGCTACGGGAACGGACATTTGGTTTCGAGCATGGTCCGATAGGTGGTACCGAAGACAAGTTATTTCAAATTATACGGGCTTTAATATATATCTTTTTTTTTAGTTAGGAACCATTTTCTGCCGTGTTTCATAACCGAATTGAATGATTGTTTTACCGCCCGAAAGGTGTTTTAAAGCGCCACAAAGAAAGCGGGCATTGGCTAGCTTTTTAATATAATTATATTCTTCTTTTTGCAGGTTGTAACTAAATTTTTGTAATTTCTTAGTGGACACTTACAGTATACAACAACGTATTAAAATTATCGATTTTGTCTATTCTTGTCAACGATCAATTATTATGACGTAGCGAAAATTATCGCTATTTCAGGATTTTGCCAGAAAAAATTCTTCTGACTAAATCTGACTACTTCGGACTGATGAGAGTCACTCTCACTGAATGTTGCTCTCTCATTTTTGTTGTCATTTCCGAGTTAAGGAACACTTTTTGGACTAAATCTGGCTACTTCGGACTTTTTCTGACTATTTCTGGGAGATAAGGAACGCTTCTAATATATTCACACTTCTCTTGATGTCAACGTCACTGTCTCTAGCTTTTCGAAGACAGTTTATTGTCTGGATGCCTACTTTACTCAAACAATGTGTAAATTAATGCATATTCTCATTGGTCTTGTCTTGTGTAAACGCGGTGTTATACAACTGTCAGCAGTGACGGATTTACGTGCGTCAAAAGTTGAGTATTGGCCAACGTTCGTTGGGAATGGTCCGTCGACGCAAGGGTTGCCAATCTGACGCGCTCTCTATGCAAACACACACACAGTCTACTCAACTGTCAGTTTCATCCTTGAGCGCCACGTACGCAAAGTACTCATTCTGACGGGGTCATTAAGACATCTGAAGCAGAATATTCGAGACATTCCGTAGTGTAACGGAAAACGTGGCATTTTTCATACGTAAAACCTCTTAATTTCCCATAAAATGTATTCAATATATAACAAACATTATTTGGCCCACCCTGTATGAATGTATGCGAGTGTACAAACTTTTATGCATATTTCTGCATTTGTAAACACGTGTGTGGCCAATTGAGTAGGCAGTTGATTTTCAGGAAGTACCTGTTGTGGGCTGGATTTTCCCTTAGGAAATTATCTTCGCCGAATGCAGCTGGCGCCAGCTAGTCTATGTATATATCGCCTGACAACCACTAGCGTTTAAATATGCATACGACTAAAAGTACCTTCAAACATACATATGTACATATGCTTTGTGTTTACAAATAACTATCTACGGTCGGCATGCTATTGTTAATACTCGTACTGTTGATGACGTGCGGCGGCGCTACGCTACCATGCCATAAGGTGGAAAAAATAACAAAATAACATAAAATTAGCTAATATTGACTTTTTGGTCGAGGAGGTGTTCGAGAATGAAATGGTAAGCAGTTTTTACCCTAAACATGGAACGTGCGAGCGTTTGTAATGCATTGACATTAGTGGCAGAACATTTATTCATTTTACTGTTTGTTAAATTTTTTGCTGGTCGCGTTGTGGCTGAAGATACTGACCGGTGATAACGATGAAACGGAAATACGATTGCTACTGTACTTATGTGTCTAGATAGAAAAAAAAGGTAATTTGTTATTAAAAATGCATATATCTATGTACATATATGTATGCACAAGCATTACAATAAAAATCGAAGTTGAATGAACCGCTGTATTGTTAGGTAAGTCATTCTGACTATAAAAGAACTTAACATCAATAACTATCAAATATTTATTACAAATAAATAGATTATATCAAAGTTAGTATAGGGACACCAGTAATGCGCATACATTTATGTACCTAGAACGATATAAAATAAAGTACATACATACATACATACGTACGTATAAAAAAAAAAACAAGAAGCGTGAAAAG